GCTGTTGTTGCAGTTGCCGTTATTGTAGATGCAATTCGAATTTGGTTTGGTCGATTCATTGTAATCGGTTTGGTAGTGGTAGATACCGTTGTTGGCTGTTGTTGCCATCGATGCTGGCTGTTGATGTACCCATTGATGATTGTTGGCCGTGTAGTTGTGGCCATTGATAGCGGTAGATACCGTTGTGTTCTGTTGGTGCCGTTGATGGTTGCGGCATTGCCTATAAAGGCGGATGTTATGATGATTTTGTTTGTAGGATTGTAGGTTTTGGTTTTTTTGGGTACCCTCACACTCCTGTGCACTTGCTGTGATCAAATAGCAAGGGCATGGACTTGTAATGGTATCTGTTGTTGCCTGCCTGGAGGCTGGTGTTGCCTCAGATTGGCCTGTAATCAGTGGAGGAAGTGCTGTGGTTCAGTTGCACAATACACATTCCATAAAAGTAGTAGGAGGTGCTGTGGCTTGGATGCCACAATACACACTCGAAAGAATGGGTAGGAGGTGCTGAGTATAAACTCAATACAACTCCAAGGAAAATATTCAATGCTGGAGGCGGATGCACTCCTGTGTTTCCTGTAGCATTTCGCTTGCGCTGCATGCTCTGGTAGCTTGTGTGCCGATAGCTAGCTAGCTATCGGCATGACATGCTGCTTCTGTAACTGTGCTCACCGGCAGCTGCTTGGATTCGCCATGCAAATCCTCTTGTTGCCGACGTACGGAGAGCTGGCTTGGATCTCCACGGGAAATCCTCTTTTTGCCAACGTACGGAGCGGTCAGTAGCTTGGGAGATACCTTTTCACAAAAGATACCTTTTTCGTTGTTCAGTGGCTGCTCGCTGAACTGCAGGCTGTTCTTTGCGGTTCCGTGGAAGAACTGATTGCTGGCTGTCAGCGATTTCCTCACAAAAAGCAAAGATTTCCTTTTTCTTCGTGTCGGCACTGCCGACACTCCTGTTGCCACTGGCTTCTTGTTGATCGTAGCAGTAGCGATTGTTGGCGCCGTTCTGCTTGTTCGCGTTGCTGCCGGATAGTTCAGACTGTTACCGATCGGATTCGACAATGGCGCTGTAGTCATTTGCCGACGTTCGCAATGGCACTGTTGTCGATTGACAATGGCACTGTGGATCCTTTCGTTGATCTTGATAGTAGCGGTAGCACCGACGGGCTAGTGGTAGCGGTCGGCTGTTGTTCTTGGTTTTTCTTCAATTTCTGTTGAACGCACCGGTGGATGCAGCTTGCTTCCTGTTGCATTCGACAGCTTGCACTCTTGGGGCCTGTTGCACTAGTGTTCAAAGCACAACTTGCTGTATGACAGTCCTGCCGTAGGACCTGCCGTTGCCGTGTAATCGGCCTGGTAATTCGTCTTGTTGTGCGTTGGAATGTTCCTTCGCACCTCTCTTCTAGTAGCCAACTCGATGGCTCTCTTGTTGAGGATAGGAACTCCCACGGAAGTACCTCTGTGGTATTTTCCTGTTGGGACTTGTTATCTCGTTCGTTCCTCTTCCGTGGCAACACGTGGTGTGTTGCTCCTGTTGGCTTCGTACGGTTGGTCTCCGTACTAGTACAGTGCGGCAGCTCTTCGTGATGGTTTCGTACGACCAACTGGTTTCGTAGTAGCCTTGTTGCGCTCGTATGGTAGCCTTGCCTCCGGTTGCATTCACCGGAAACCTTTCGTTCTTGCTGGAATCCTAGCTAGCTAGTCGTCCTAGCTTGCTGTCTTCGTGGCAACCTTTGTCGCCACTCCTGTAGTTGATTTTCGTATCGGCACTGCACCTAGCAGTCGTACGATGGCTGTTTCCGCAGCTCAAAGTCTTGGTCTTCGCTCACTCACTCCTGTGAGCTGGATGTTCGTGCTCCGGTAGTTGGTACCGGCACAGATACTCGTTTTGGCTTGTACTGTACAATAGCCTCTGCTCCGTACAGTAGCCTCGTTGTTGACTCAATCAGCTGTAACTCACTCAATTCCTGTTGGATTCGCTTCGTTCAAGCATAGAAGTAGTGTAGTTAGCGTTGCTCTTTCACATGTTAGTATGCTTACTGTGTGCTGATTCGGTCGTCTTCTGAAGGACCGTTCGCTCCGGTGTAGCTCGAGGGAACTCCGTGGTTTATGCCTTTTTCCTGCTAGGCTGTTGGGATAGCTCTCTCAGTGAGGCTAGAGCCCTTTTTGCCTGAACCTTTTGATGAGGTCTTTACCTTAGCATAGACTCACTCATGTAATAGGATGTCGATATTGATGTCGTCGCCATTCCCATGGCGAGATCACGACGAGTTGATCTTCTTGGAAATAGTGTTGGTTGCTAGTAACACTCTAGCTTAGTAAAGGTAAAATACTGTTTTACTGTTAAGCTATTTCCAAGAAGTGATCTTTCTCCATGTTTTCTGGGATTGATTCAACTTCAAAGGATATAGTGAAGGGGGTGACCATATAGATCAGTTAAACTCCCCATGTATGTAACTAGAGAATAGATATAGGTATCCCCTCTAAACTAGATTGGGATAAACGAATAATTTGTATTGAGGTGTCTGTAATACAACCTCCAACAAGAAGGGGCGCCTGTTGAAGAAGGTTGAAATCCCTGACAAAGAACAGAAAGTCACTGCTTCTCAGTTGCCATCGTGGAGCTCCTTTCGACGTTTCTGGAAGAAGGAATACCCAAAGCTTGTTATTCAGAGGCCAAGTGCCGACATCTGCGACCAGTGCTACGTCTTTGCCAATAAACACAAGTACTGCGAACGACATGCTCCTGCTGCAGCAGAGAAGAAGAAAAACAACAACAAAGATAATGAAGAAGATTCTGATGACTCTGATGCAGAAGAGTTGGAGTTTGAGAAAGCACTGACCATGGTTGATCCCAATGCCAACATTCAGGAAAGGTTTGATGCCATCAATGCCATGGAGGATTCTGTAATGCAGGCGTCGATGCATGTTGAAATGGCACGACGACAGAGAGCTCTCTTCAATC